GAGTGGGTGGGGAGATGGATGGATTCACACCATAATGATAGAGAATTCAGGGCTTCTACAGTTTTGAAATAAACACTAGTCACCTTTCCAACAACAGAGACCACTTTTAAGACTTGCTGAAGTTATTCACTCAGATGCTAAATATAACATGATTTTTCAAAAAACTTGGTCTGCAGAGAATTTGTATCAGATCCTCAGGGATGTTTGGTAAAAATGCAGATTCCAGAGTCCCATATGTGAAAAAGTCAGAATCCCAAAGGTGGGAACCTGGAAAACTGATTCTTAAATAAGTCCTTACATGGTAACATGGTTATGCAGCACCAACGTTAGATAAGTGCAAGTTAGAATCTTGGTGGTTATACACTGGACCACTACGGATTAGGCTCCATCTCTCTGGGCCAGTCTCCACTCTAGAAAGTAACACATTAATACTAATAATGTTCAAACTAGCAGCAGCCAGTTTGTGAGTGCATTCTACGAGCCAGGTGTCTTGTAAAATCCACGACACGCATTTCCTCACTCACGTTTGAAATCAGTGCAGCTGACGTCATGATGCCCAGTTCACAGACAAGAAAACTGAGACTCTGAGAAGCGAGGTGACTTGCAGGACACAAATGCTGACTCCCAAGCCCAAGCCCTGACCCACTCACTATGATGCCACAGCATCACCAACACAGAAATCAGGCAAGCAGAGTGTCTCTCAGGGCTGTGTTGCAACAGAACACAGGACATGTGCCCCAGGGTAGTAAGGGAATGACACAAGGTGCGGGTAGACAAGCTAAGCCTAGCAAGGGCTTCCGCCCGTCTCTTCTCTCTCTGGGTCGATGCAGTTACAAGGCTGCCTTCCCCGGTCTACGCTGTCACACCTGCCTCCAGGCTGGATAGGCCATGACAGGATTTCATGGGAGCTGCAGACAGACGGCCAAACGGCTTGAAACGACGGGGCCTGACACTGGGCATAGAGAGGACTGTGGCTCCTGACTCTAAGTGCCGGGTGACACAGGGGCCCAGGGCAGGAGGCAGGATGGTGCCTTCAGGCCAGGCAGTCTCACATCGCCTCTTCACCTTGGGATTCCCACTTTTAGAGGAAATCTACACCCTCTCTCCCACCCCGGCTTGTGATGAACTAAATCTCACACCTCTGCCATGGTGGTGATAATTAAATATTATCCGCCTGTCACTTGGCGCACATGTTGTGTGTACTCTCAGACTTTAATGAGCTGGCATTTGTCTTCTGTAAGCAAAAATATTTCTTTGATTCTCTTCCTTTTCAAATTGGGGTGAGCAGTTCAAGTGAAGATCTCTCACTATTAAAAAGGCAGTCTCTGGCTGGCACATTTGAGCTGTTTCCTCGTAGCTTTAGAGGCAAAGGGAGGTAAGGCTTGTATCTTTGGACGCGGACACTGCTTCCTGAGATTACGTTAGCTGGCACATGGCTGCAGGTGTTGGGAGACTTTCAATGTGATGCGAACAAAAACACAGGGAGTTGGCATAACTTTTCTTAGTGGGAATGTTCTAAGGCTGATTTTCTATCAGTTCCTCATCTGAACACCACAGACATCCAAAAATATTTGTGTGCAAGTTTTCTCAATTTTTCCAAGGAAGTGACTTTAATCACTACCATTCTTGATGCACTGGAGAGAAGTGAATTCATTCCACACAAGGGATCATTAAGAAGTTCATGGAAAATGTCTATTTTGAAAAACTATACAGGGATTTCAAGGTTTTTTGTTTTGTTTTTGCACTAAAATAAACTTATCCTTTAGTTCTGTTTTCTATGACCTACTTGAAATCTGGTCATAGAATCATATATTAATATTAATTAATTAATGATCATCCATATAAAAGATGTCTTTCAACAGCAGTTGTCAAGCAAATCTGTATCAGCATCACTTGGAAATTGACAAGAAGTTCAAATTCTTACTCTCCAGCCCAGACCTGGACATCAGGAACTTTGGCGTAGGGCTCATCAGCCTGAATTTAATCATGTCCTCCAGGGCTTTTGTAGCAAGCTGGGTCTCCGAACTGCTCGTGGCCATGAAGTGCCAGGGCTTAATTCGTTCATGGACGAATCCAAGTAGAAAATGGCTTATAAGGGCTTCAAATCTCTCTCTCTCTATTTGTGTCGCTATCTATCTCAGCTTCCACTGAAAAACAGATCTCACGTTAAACAGGGGTTTTTTATCAGGCGGAATGTTTCCAGGTGGAAAAGTGGTTTGCCGTGTCCAGCGCACTTTGGAAGAGGGCTCATTATTTTCTCCATTCATGAGAAAGATAACAAATGCATCCATCGCAGCTGCTCCCCGGGCCTGCACGCATGTTCTGTCTAGGTGTTCCTCTGACCCGTGGTGCGGTCTAGAAACCCACAGAGCCCATCCTGAGGACTCCCACAGCAGGACTGAGGCCGTGGGCAAGACTCCCACCGCCCACTCAAAACAAACCGAAAAAGAACTCTCATTCACGCGCTGGAGGATGGGACCCGGAGTTGATGAGGAGCAACTTTAATATTTATCAATAAACGGCAAAGTGCTTAGCACGCCTCCTAGGGAAGTAATTAACCATGAAAAGGATGCTCTGTGCAGAGGAATCCCCTCCAAAATAAGAACTGTGTTAATTGTGAATCGCTTACGCCAGGTGAGAGGCGCTGTGCTTACCGTTCTCACCTGACATAAGCAACTCTGAATTAACCGGGAGTTTCTTTTTATAAACACCGTGTGGAGCCTTTTTTTTTTTTTTCTTTGTGGTTAATTACTTCCTTGGGAGCTTTGCTTTAATAGTTCCCATAACAAGACCATTATTGTCTTTAGCATAATCACTGCCTCATTTGCTTTTGTGCCCTGTCTTTCTGTGCCTGCTTCGGTGGGGGTAGGGTGGGGGGGTGGGAACCATGGATTGTGCCTGGTGGGTAGCCCTTAAGCCTGGGGACCCCGCAGTGCCTCTTCTAGTGCCACCACTTCAGGAATTTGGCTCTTGCCTGGTGGGGAGCCAGGCTGAGGGGCAGAGCTGGTGAAGAAGGAGGCGGGTTGCTCAGAGCATTTTGGGGAAACTGAGTCTCCCGGGTGCCCTCTGTCCCCTGTGTGCAGCACTCCCGCAATCTGCTATGCTTTCAGCTGCTGACAGTCAACAGGGGAGGGAGCCAGGAAAGCAGCTCCTGTCTGGAGGGAGAAGCTGATCCGTCAGCAACCGCTGTGCACGGAGCAACCTCCAGGGAGGCAGCAGCAGCGACAGTGAACCCTACCAGCAAAGGCGCGCTGCATTCTGACTCTGGAAACAAACTGTGTTAAGTACTTATGCCTCACTTCGGTAAAAAGTGAATTAAAGCGCCTTCTCTTTTGGCTGTCTTTCGGGCAGGTGAAAACAGATGAATGGGAGGTCTGAAAACCGCCATCAGGTCTATGAAGTTTTCTGGCTGTGTACTATCAGTGTATCACATCTGGTTACGTCCCAGATTAGATTATGGAAATTATAAAATGTCCATGGAGAAAAAAAATACAAACAGAATGTCTCACGCTCTCATTCATCACACTGATGAGTGGCACCCCACCTCTGACATCACTGTACTGGACCCTCTGGGGCCATGACCGTGGGGCTGCTGAGATTCCTAGAGTACACACATCAGTGTTAAACAAAGCAACTGGATTCACAGATGCTCCTGTACCCTGAGGCAACTTTTGCCCTGCGTGAATTCTGACCAGCTAGTAATTCTGGTGAGGGTGATCGCAGATCTGTACCAGTATCTGGGGAATGTTCCATAGTATCTTAGGAGACTGGATAGCCTGTGTGCTAATACAATCCCAGTGAGCCCCAGAATCTTGGGAAGTAAAAAAGGCAAGAAAATTCATCCCTGAGGTTTAGAACACGCTTGGCAATCTTTTTCCCGTCAGGGGTCAGCAAGTAACTTGTTCAGGCTTTGGCAGCCTGGGGGTCTCAGTTGTTCATGGATGGTGAAAGCAGCCATGGACCAGACAGAAAGAAATGGGCGTGGGTGTATTCCAGTGGATGCAGTGATGCAGGTTAAAGGGTAAAGATGGTCAGTTACGCACAATAAATAAGTTCTGCAGACCTATTAAACAGTGTATTGATTCTAGCTAACAATACTGCAGTGCATATTTAGAATTTGCTAAGAGGAAAGACCTCATGTTTTCTTACCACATAAAAACATCAAACCAAGCAAATTTAATATTCATAATAATAATGTCAGAGGGGGTGGGAAGAATTGTTGGCTTGGACAATAGTGATGCTTTCATAGGTGCATACCTATCCTGAACTCAGCGAGAGGTATATACTGAATAAGTACAGATTTTTGCATGTCAATCATACCTTAATAAATCAAAAAAATCTGATCTATGGACAGTGAATTGCCCACAGTTTTTCACAGGTCATGAAATATGCGTCTTAACACCTTTTTAGAATTTCCCCACCATCCATTAAAAATATTTAAACCACCGTGAGCTTCTGAGCCTGACCTTGGTCACAGGCAGTATTTTTGCTGATTGTGCATTTTTGAAGCAGGGCTGGTTTGATTGCCAGTGTTACCACTGGTGGCTGTATTATTAAAAGTTACTTAGCCACCCTCCAGGCCTTGGTTTCCTCTTCTCAAAGTGACACTAGAGAGTGCTCTAATGGTGAAGGGAAGCATCGCTCATGACGTCTTAGCAGTGCAAGGCTCCACCAGTGCCACCGACTGCTAAATCCCAAGCTCGCATGGTCTGATGGGACCAGTCACCCTCAAGGCAGCACTGGCACCCAGCTGCCTTGCCGAAGGCACAGCTAGTTGAGAATCCCAAGCCAGCATCAAACCCCGGGGCTTGCAGCTCGTGTCTCCACCAGTCCCCGCCGTGCCAGGGGCGCCCACTCTCCGCTGCACTTGCTGCAAAGGAAATGTTACAACAGCACGTGACAACAATAAGGGGAGGGCTTTCAGGAGAAAAAGGACTCAAGACAAAAGCACACCCAATGCTCTGCTCCTAGGGGCTGGGAATGAGAAGACGCGTGCTCACCTCCCTCATTATCCTTGTTATCAGCACAGGAGGTCTCCATGGCAACGTTGCATCCGGGCCCTCTCCAGCCGGTCTGGCAGACACACTGCCAGCTGTTCTGACCCAGTGTGCATCTCCCGTTACCGTTGCACAGATCAGGGCAGCCATCTGGTTGGAGAAATGGAGAGGATGAGAAGGAGGGACGTGAGGCCGCGCCGGGGAAGCAGGGAAGCCATGCAAAGGGGGAGCAAGGCCTCAGGGCAGCCACTGGGCCAGCCTCACAGTGGGGCCCATGCCTGCTTTTTCCAAAGAGTCCGGGGAAGCAGGCCAGGCAGGCCACGCATGCAGGTGCAAGACGGAGTGGGGTCGCAGATGCAGGGAATCCCCAACGGCCACTGACCTGGGTGCAGGGGTCAGAGCAACCTTCCCCAATTGGGGAGTTCAGTGCACATCCCAGACAACTACACCAGGGCTGGGCTGACAGCCAGCTTAGCTAGGCTGTGCTCTGCAGCCCGGAGCTCAGGATTCCAGCTACCTCAGCTGAAGCTTTTCTTTCTCTTGCTTCCTTTCCTCCTCCTCTTCCTCTCTTTCCCTCTCCCTCTCTTTTTAGAAGTGCCTTCTGCAGAAGGGTAAAAAAAATTCCTATCAATCCAGGATAGAGGCAAGATGCCCTCCGTCTTTCAGAATTTTAGAGATAAATTTACATATGATTATCACGAGCTTTTCATGACCGAGCCTGGATGGCTCTACTGGGCTATTTTCATATTCTTGTAATATTTAGTTTTAAGGGGCACTTAAAAATGTTGGCTGCCTATCACTCCATCTATTTATGGCACAATTTAAAAATACTGCAGGATTTGAAGGCTGTGAAGGAGTAGGTGCTGGGTGCCATGGACTGGGAAAAAGAGGGATTCATACATATTTATTAATGGGGTAGGGCAGGGCAGCAGTAGTTCGTGTTTTGTGGCTTTCTTTGTTTTCTGAGTGTGTGTGTGTGTGTGTGTGTGTGTGTGAGAGAGAGAGAGAGAGAGAGAGAGAGAGAGAGAGAGAAATCAGCAGCCTACCTAATTCCCAAATAGCTCCCTAAACAATTGCTGCTACTCCCTCCTAACTGGAATTTGGATAGAGGGAGGCTGGAGAGGGAGAGAAGAGAGACTCACTAAAGAGAGACGGGAAATGCCTCCCCAGCATAGCCTCTGTCACCCTTTGTAAGACACAGAGAGAAGCAGACAGATGGGGATGATGTAGCCACACTCACAAGACCTACTTGCTTGCAAGAATTCCTAGAAATGTTTTCATTTCTCTTTCTTTTAACAGCTTTACTGAGGCATAATCTACATACTGGAGAATTCACCTGTTGTAAGCATACAAAACAATGACTTCTAGTAAATTTACAGAGTTGTGCAATCTAGGTAGGCTTTTTTTACCTCACTGAAATATACCCCAAATACCATATATTTCCCCCCAAAAGTAACTCCCCCGAACATCTAAATCTTATATCCTGTCCCCGCCTCTGCCACCATCTCTATTTCCATTTCTCTGTATCTATTTTTAAACCACACAAAGCAGGGGCTGGGTGAGCCGGTGATGGAGAAAGGAAGAGCTTCATAACAGGGAGGTAATTGATTTGAAATCTTCCCAGCCTAGATCCTGTGAACCCAAAGTGTGCATGTCCCATCCTGCTCCCTCTGCCGTTCCAAGGGCCTTCACCTGGCTCCATTCCTCTCTTCTCTCAAGCACCCTTTATGCAAACACAGATCCACCCAATTTGTGCAGTCGGCAGCGGGGGCGGGGGGGAGCTGGAAGGACTCCTCCCCCAAAGAAAAGTCAGGAGGCTTTGCAACGGAGTTTTACTTCTTTAGGGGGGTTTGCTCCTCAGAGCTCGTTCTCTCCTGCTCTTTCCAGAATGTGGCGTGGACAGAAGAGGGTTGGGAACAGAGGACAGTCTGGGTAAGGAAGCTGAGAGGGAAAGCAAGGGGACTATTTATTAGCAGGGAATTGGTTTTTTTGGATGCACAGACTGACACTAAATCCGGCATGCATTGACGTTTGTACAACCACACTTCCAGAGGGTGTGCTTTGTCTCCACACTTGTCCTTACAACCCCTAACTCTCGTCTCCATACCTTTCCTTATCAATGAGGCTACTGTGGCCCTGCCTGACCACCCATGACATGTCCCTTGCTCACCCTGGGCAAGAGTACTTGCAGGAGAAGCTATCCCCAGTTGCAGAGAAACGCCACCAGCGTTTCTGCAGGCGTAAAATGGAATTCAGGAGGAAAAGCCCAAGGGACACTTCACAGGTTCTGAAGAGGGAGAAAATATCTCCAAGCTCCAGCCACCTCCAGAGTTAAAATCTCTACCAGCAGAATTCTTAGGATCAGATCGTACAGATGCACTAAATGACAGACCTGTCAACATCTGCTCAGTGTGCTGTATGTTCCGTGTGTTTTGTTATTTACCTACTTTGAGGTCTCCTGTCTCACAAAAATCACCCCAAAGTCTCAGCAGAAGGCTCATTGTGTAAGAAACCCACGTCCAGTACATAAAATCCAAATCTGCAAAGAGTACTAGCATGTCCGTCAGCAATATCCAAAATATATGTGTTCTTAGACTGGATGAGCCTTTTCCCCCATCTTCGCTTTCTCTCTTGGTCCTCCCCCGGCCCTGACCAACTGAAGTGAGATAAACAGACCACAGTAGCGGGTTTTCTCCGCATCATACGAGGAAGATGAAAACACGAACAGTAGGAAGCTGGCAAATCTCTGAGAAGTTTCAGGGCAGCTGGGAATTAATGGACAGGACTTTGCTTTTAGCTTGAAGAGGAAGAAAGCAGCCTTGGTAGGTGCGTGGCGTTGCTAGGCAACCCCAAGCTACCCCCATCGCAAGTTCATTCTGCTGGTGGCCTTGTGAGGAGGTGATTCTTTGTGTTTGTGAAGTGCAAAGCCAGATTCTGCTTAAGGGAAAACAAAATGTAGGAAGTAATTAGTCTGGAGGGCAAATGGGTATCAGGTGGCGGCTTTCCTCTGGAGAGGAGGTGATAACTGAAGTTGGATTAGGCTTATGGGCTCCTATTTGGGCATCCTCATCCAAGAAGTCTCCGATGCGGAGTTTTTCTGGATTTCAGGCTAGCACTGCTCTAACTTCCCTGAGTGCTTTCCTCTAAGACCACCGACATGCAGTCCCTTAAGGCACACCTGGCTGGCTCCCTGGAGACTTCCAGTCCTGTCATGACCCTAGACCAGCGGCTCTCGGTAAGGGCCTTTGTGTCCGCCCCTTTGTTCCCAGGGGACACTCTGCAAGGTGTGCAGGCATTTTTGATCATTACAGTTTGGGGAGGAGACAAATGCTACTGACATCTAGAAGGCCTGCGTTGCTGTTTAGCTTCCTGCAACGTGCAAGACAGCCCTCGCAACAAAGAATGGAACACCCTGCGTCTCCACAGTGCCAAGGCTGAAAAACTGCCCTGGACAGAAAGCCCCTGGGAAATGCGACAGGTAGGGTTCCCCCTGCTGGCTCAGCTGCAGGCACACAGTAGGTGACTGAATAAATTGGAAACCATCAGGCGGGGCTTGTCATCTCAGCCTGGCCACTCCCTGCAGACTCTTCTGTGAGTCCTTAACCATAATGGGAACTTCCCTGCCCAAGACGGAGAGTCTTCTTGTGAGGGAGAACATTCAAGGACATCAGTGATGTCTGTTCACTCAGGAACGTCTCAAACTCCACACTAATCAGCCTCCTCACCTTCCCTCCCCAGTGAACAGCATCCTCCTGGAGCCCATGGTTTGAGTCAGGCACCAGGGAAGCCATCTTGGGCTACCCTCCCCTTCCGCCACGCCTCTCGCCCTTAGTATGGAATCCCAGGTCAGTCCCGCCTCCTCCTCCTCCTCACTGCCCTGGAATCTGCCCTCTATTCCCAATCCTACTGCTACTCCCTTCACCTAAGCCAGCTTCACTCTGGTTCAGACTCTGCTCAGAGCCTCTGACGGCACTCTCTGCCGGCTGTCTCACATCATCATCCATTTCTCTCCATTTTGGACACTGCTGAAAACACGTCAATAGCTTTCCACTGACTCCAGCGTGATGTCTAACGCCCTTAACGTGCCCTTCGGAACTCACAAGAACAGGCTCCCACCTCGCCATCCTATCCAAAGATCTCCTTATGCTTTGGTTAGACTTAACCCACTTGGCCTTTTCTTTGTCCTTTTCTCTTCTCCCTGACTTAGACTCACTCTTTAGGTCCACACTTGGAAGTCACCTCCTCCTGGAAGATTTTCCAGAATTCCTGAGCCCACTGGTCGTGGCACCCTTCTCCCTTCCTATAGGGCGCCCTGTCCATCACACTGTATCACAGCGGTGGTGCCTCCCTGATGCTTGCTGGGACATGTAGCAACCCTTCCTCCAAACACCTTACACACACGGGCAGGAAAATGGCCATAATAAATGTTCATGTAGTCATTAACTGCAGTGTGAATGGTGCCTCTAGGATTGTGCAGTATACAGCTGAACCGCTGCCCTGGGCACTCCTAGTATGGCGTAAACCTGTCAGGGGAGGTGCTCTGTGGAGCCTGAGTATTCGTGAGTTGCTAGTACCCAACACATAGCTGCATGGGAATGAGTGAATGCATAGCTTCGGACTGAAACCAGCATCTCCAATGCCTTTGGCAGAGTGGAACAGGATAGCTTCCAAGACTTTTCCACACATAAATTCCAACCACTAAAAAAAGAAAACAGAAAAAAAAAAATCCTTCAACACAGTTACCAGGTAGGCAGGCTTTTTGCCTTAACAAAATTAGGCATGAACAAAATAACATCTTGCGCACAGCAAAGGGGTGCATACACATACTTGAAGAAAGCTATGATTACCCCAAAAGGCTTTTCTCAAAAAGCATCCAGACGTGTTCTGCCATGTGCGGCAGCTCAGAGGTGCAAATCAATGGCTTGTGTTTCATAAGGGGTAAGGAGAGAGAGAGAGAGGGTTTCAACACCCAACCACCAGCACGCCTCAGCAACAACACAAGGGACAACAGGCTACCCGGACAGAAATGGGAGTGAGAACCCAAAACTGGCTGCGGGGGGTGGGGGGAGGAGGGGGGCGAAGGTGGACCACAAGAAAAGCCGTGGGGTTCTCTGCTTAAAGGCACCGTTAGCAAAGCTGTCACAACCTTG